AAAAAAAACCTATTGACTCAGATTGGGTGAAATCCAAATATCAGTTTAAAAAGAATTAACATTTTTTACAACCCAGTCTTCTACTCCACTGCATATCATTCCATTTGTTAGGATTAAAAAGAATTTTTTCTCCATAATGTCTATAGGTCCCGCATAAGGGTGTTACATACTTTTTGATTAATTTACTCTGGGTAACTGATATATTTTGATGCTATTGTAAATGGTATAGTTCTTAAATTTTATTTTTTATGGTATATAAAATGTTATTGATTTTTTTTGGCATTTTCTTAGTGACTTATTTTTATAATTTTTAAATCTTTTTCAATTACCACTGATTTTTTTTAACAAAAAATGTTTTTATTTATTTCAGAGAGAGGAAGGGAGAGGGAGAGAGAGAGATGGAAACATCAATGATGAGAGTCATTGACTGGCTGCCCCCTGCACGCCCCCCACTGGGGATCAAGCCTGAAACTGGGGCATGTGCCCTGACCGGGAATCGAACTGTGACCTCCTGGTTCATGGGTCAATGCTCAACCACTGAGCCACACCAGCCAGGCAATTATCACTGATTTTTATATGTTGGTCTTTGTATGTATACAGTAATCTTGAATTTATTTATTAACCCTAATTAATATGTAGAGAATTCTGCATTTTCTATGTGCAAAATCATGTCATCTACAAATAATGACTTTCATTTCTTCCTTTCTAATCCTTATGACTTTATTTTTTTGGTTTATCACACTAGCTGTGCGCCCCACGACAATACTGAACACTAGTGGTGATAACAAGCACCCATATCGTTTTCCCAATCTCAATATTTGAGTATTAAGAACGATGGCATTGTTGCACATGTTCATTCTCAGTTTAAAAAGTTCCATTCTATACATAGTTCAATTTGAGTCTTTTTTAATATCATGAATAAGAGGTAAGTTTTCAAAGGCATTTTCGGTAGCTATTGAGATCTAAAGATTGAGCTTTTTTCTATTCATTAATGAATTATATTGATTTTCAAACATTAAATTAACCCCATTTAATTACTATGTATTATCTTTTGTATGTATTGCTGAGTCCAATTTTCTCATTTTTTTTGTAACTATGTTCATGGAGGAGATTGATAATATTCCCTTCTTGTACTTGTCAGGCTTTGGCATAAGCATTATGCCAATTTCATAAACAGAGTTCCTTTTTTCCCTATTCTCTGTTCGAGTTCATGAAAAATCATTGTTATTTCTCCTCAATTTTGGGGAAGAATTCTCCAAGGACCCCATGGGCGCCATGGCTTTTATTTAGTACCAGTGGGAAGGCTGCTAGAGATTCAATTTCTTTAATACATATCAAACTACTCATACAGCCTGCTTACCCTTCTGTTGGTTTTCCAAAGATTTATATTTTGATAAATTTCTACATCTCATCTAAACTGTGAAATTTATTGGCTAAAGTTCTTTATAAATTCTTTTATCTTTTTGTATGCTATAGGCTCTGAAGTGGTATCTCCTGTGTTATTACTGATATATTTCTCTCACTTATTATCCATATTTACACTGGCTTTATCATTTTGTTAAACTTTTCAAAGAACCAACTTTTGGCCTTACCGATTTTATTTTGTTTTGTATTGTATTAATTTTTATTCTTATTATTATTTCTTTTTTTCTTTACATTTAATTTGCTATTCTTTTCCAAGCTTCTTGAGATGGAAGCTTTAATCAAGATTATTTTCCTTTTTTCTTTTCTAATATATTCCCTGAAGGTATAAAATTTCGTTCTAGTACTGTTTTAGCAGTTGTGATACGGTTCATTTTCATTATCATTCAGTTTAAAATATTTTGATTTCTGTTTTGATTTTACTTTAATCCTTGGATTATTTATAAGTGTACTATTCAATTCCAGGCTACTGGAGGCATTCTAGTTGTTTTTAGGGTGTTTATTTTTAGCTTAATCCCATTGTCATCAGAGGACAGGCTCTAAATGACTTCAGTATTTTGAAATTTGTCGAAGTTTATGGTTTCTCATATGGTCATTTTGGTAACTTTCCCATGTATTGTTGAAAAGCACAGGAAATCTATCACTGTTCTATGTCAGTTAAGTAGTTTGTTCATAGTGTGTTCAGATATTTTGTAAACTTACTGATTTTATCTGTCTGCTTATTCATCAAGCTACTGAAAAAGATGTTTTAATGTTTCCCACTCCTATTTCAGGTCTATTTCATCCCTTAGGTCTGCTCGTTTTTGTCATATGCTTTGAAGCTGTGTTATTTTGGGTACACTGACTAGAACAGTGATATTGTCAGTGACTTTGTTATCTCCACGAAATGTCCCCTTCAATTTCTAGCTTCTCCCTTTTTCTAATTTCTAATACTTTTCATTGTATAGTGGATACTAAATGAAAGGGCCACAGAATTTTTAGTCTAAATTATTTTAAACTTCTCTCCTCTGTTAGGCAGATAGAGGGGAGGACTGATCTCAATCAAAATCAGGGATTGGACTGGGTTAGGCTTAACTGCAGCTCTGGTAAATCTCAGTCCATGTCTGGTTCAACCCTGTTCCCAGGGCATGCCTCCTCAAGATTTTCGACTGACTAATGAGACTCCTCGACATGGAATAATTATGAGATCCAGATCTGTCCTCAGAGGTTTTCAGCTTACCTCTTTAACTCTCCCATCCCATAGAGTTCCAAACTTTGGAAAACATGTGGAGGGAGAAACAGGCTGTATTTGAGGTTCCCCAAGTCTCCTGCTTTGTCACTCAGGCACCACATACATGGCAAGGTCTCTATTGGTTTCTCTGCCTCCTGCACCAGCCTCTTGCTACCATCAAGCCTAAGTTCCAGCCTCTAGCTGGAGCCAGAATCAGTAAACGCACCCAGGTGAAAAGAGCTGTTGATCTTCAGTGTCAATTCACGCCTCATATGCTTTGTTTTCAGACCCACTCTCCAAGCCTGTCTTGTTTCCTAAGCACAAGACTGAAGATTTCACCTTGCCTTTCAGAGGCATCAGCCTAGTTCTTTAACTTTCAGTGCAAACTCAAAATTCAGCAAATATCTTTTGAGGAAAATCTCCATTCTGTCTCCTATATCAGTCAGAGTCTTCATAGAAACGCAGCAAATAGGAGACAGGTATCTGTGAGCTGGGGAACCAGGGAAGCCAGAGATATAATTCAGTCTGAGTCCAAAAGCCTGAGAACCAGGAGTGTCAATGTCCAAGGGCAGGACATGGATGCACCTGGTCAAGCAAAGCAAATTCACCCTTCGTTTTTCTGTTCTGTTCAGGCCTTCAACAGACTGAATGTTGCCCAGACACACCGGTGAGTGTGATCTTCTTTACTCAGTCTGATTCAAATGCTAAGCTCTTTTGAACACACATTCAACAGACGCACCCAAAGCTAATGTTTTAGCACCGATCTGGGCATCTCTGAGCCCAATCATGTGACACATAAAATTAACCATCACATCACCCTAGTCCAGTGGAACCGCCAAAAGCCCCCATTTCTCTTTCCTCCAACAGGCCTCTTCCTGGCCAAGCCCTGATCCAAGCCCACAACCAGGATTAGTGAAAATCCCGCTTTGCGGATGGGACTGTTCCTAAAATGCTCTCCGATTCCGGAATTTTTGTCTGTCTTTTCATCTTTGCTTCGACAGTTCTCTGATGCCTTTAAAATGTGATTTATTTTTGTTCATTACCCAGCTGTGTCTATACGTGAGGAGCAGCAGCAGCAATGCCCTACCATGACCCACTCCCTCCTGCCTGGGAATGGAAGTTAGAACAATACATTAAAATCCTGTACCTGAATACTCTGTGCTGCTCACCTGCAAGGCCAGGTTTCAAGCCTGGCTGCTTGTTTGTTTCATACATTTTCAGTATAAAATTGGGGATTCCTGCCACCGTCTTTCCTTGGTCTGTGCGGGCACCTCCTCTTAATGCCAGGTGATAGACCCCCCGGGGCATATTCACCATCTCTTGCCTCACGAGAGATGTAAAAAATTCCTCCAAAGCTGAAAGAGATAAAAGGAGATTACTACAGTATACTAGAAGAGAAACACTTTTAAAGCATACACAACAACAACTGAGCCTATTTCAGGCCAAACATCACAAAATAAAGAGAGAGCTCTCCATTCCCATGCTTCTTAAGTCTTGCTCAAGTCAGACCATAGCACCCAGTTGTTCAAGCTGAAAAGCTTAGCCATGCTTACCGTTTCCCTTCCCACACTCCCTACATGCACTCCATCAGCCAGTCCTTCTAGATCAACCTTCAAGGATACAGCCCAAATCCACCCATTTCTCTCCATTTTCACTGCTACCTGCCCAGCCATTATCTCCTCTCTTCCGCATCTGGATGAATTCAAAAACTAGTTTCGTGGTTTCTACTCCTCATGACCATGCCCCTACAAACCACTGTCCGTCCCAAAGCCAGAATTTGATGTCATTCCCCTCCCTAAGAGTTTCCAATGGCTTTTCACTGTACATAGAATAACTCCTGACAATGACCGAGGCTTTCTATGATGGAGCCCCTGCCCCCCACCCCCGACCTTATCTCGAACCCCATCCTCCCTGCTAGCTGTGCTGATGGCACGTCTCCACATGGCCTCTGTCCCATTCCTCAGTAACGCAAAGTTTATATCTAAGTCAGGGCCACTGCACCTGCTATTCCTTCTACATGGAACACACCAGACCCAGATTTCCATGTGACTGGCTCCTTCTTGTCATTTAGGTATTTTAAGAGATGCCTTTATCATTCTGTAGCAATATCAGTACAATTATTAAAAAACAAAATATTAGTTCATTTTTTCTTTGCTTGTGGTTCTAATTAAGCCCAAGATCTTTATTGCTTGATATTTTTACTTATTATAAGGTAATGCAGATATGTGGGATCAAATGACAGTAGATACCCAAACAGAATACTTGATAAGATTGGAGGTTTATATTCAAGTGTTATTTTCCTAAGAACCACTAGAGGTTGCCCAATGCAGAAACAAAAACATTAAAACTAAACAAATCATATGGAAAACAAAAAAAGGAAACTACTGTATGTGCCACTTATTATAGGAACAAAAAACAAGGATCCACTCTAACAAAACTGGAATTTCATTCTGAATAGATCTAAAAGTCTCCTTTATATGACCATGATTGAATGAAAGGCAGTAAGTGCTTACTGGTGCACCTATTATGTGCCCAGTTCTGTCAATGCTATATAAAAATTTCCTAGATGCAACCAAGCTTCTCCACTCAAAGCCCAGAAAACACTGTGGGATGCTTTCCATTTATCCCTCCAGATCCATCCCCCACCCTCTCACCCAGCTCTGCCCTGGAAGAATAACCTTTACCAACTGCATCATCAGGCTCCCTTGTCCTCTGGCTTCACCCAATGGGGGACGCTGGCAGGAGGTCAGCGGGTGGAAACACAGTGAGGTCAGGCATGTACTCCCCAGGTACCCACCTGCAAGATTGCTACAGGTTGCCTGCACGCCTCTTGTGCAGGCTTGGCTTCCCTGCTTGTAACACAGATGCTCTCTCTTTCTCCTAACTGCTACCTCCCCTTGCATCTTCTAGCTAAGGGACATGAACCACTCTGGGATGACTCACCATTGCCTGTGATTTTCCTTTAACCAGGACAACATAATAGCCCCTTTATTAAACTCTCAGTTACTCCATCTGAATGTGCCTTTCCTGTCAAGACCCTAATCAACACATCATCTAAATGAAAGCGATGAGAAACATCCAATTGCAGGGGATACACCCCAACACCTGCATCCACATGCCCATGTGTGATTGCTTCAAGCTGGCTGAGTAGGAGTGTAGTCTTTTTAGAATGTAGCTAGTATCATCGTTGAGGACACAGGCACTATGATGAGAGAGGGCAATTTCATGCTTTCTCAGAAGGGATCTGATTCTGGCAAAAGCTGATACATGTCAAGAGATAAGTATACATCTGCAATAGACTAACACAGGAATGGAAATTTGTCTACTTATCAAGCTCTTTTCAGGGGACTAGGGATTCTCAAAATAACTCCAGCCCTAAGAATAGTTTAAATGAGGGGAAGATACCAAGACTGCAACTGATGTAAAAAGTACCATCTTCCCCCGGCCACTAAGCTAGCAACTTGGAATTTCTTCCATCATTACTGAGTCTTGCCCTAGTCTTTGACCAGGTGAGAATTTGAAAAGAGCTGAAAATTTGTAGGTTGCAGTGTTAGATATAAATTTTTAAAACATCCCAAATAGCTTTCAAAAGGTGAGTGGATGAGCAAACTGTAGTACATCCTACAATGAAGTACTACTCAGAAATTAAAAAGAACAATTCATATAGGCAAGTATTTGAATGGATTCAAACACATGCTGAGTGGAAAAAAGGAAAAAAAACTGGTGAAATCCGAATAGATCTATAGTTAACAATATTGCACCAATGTGAAATTCCTGGTTTTAATAATGAACTAAGGTTATGTGAGATGCTATCAATTGGGAACAGGTAAGTAAAAGTATACTGCCACTTTCTAAACTGATTTTGCGACTTCTTATAAGTCGAGTCATTTCCAAATTTAAAAAATATTTTAACAGGTACCAGGAACACCCTTATTTAAAATATGCAAATTACTGAATTTAGTTTGCAGCTGCATTTGTGTTTACTTGAAAAGTAAGAGAAAAGGGCAAGGATTCACTTACATTCCTTGCAATTTGGTTTTGCCTACCTCCTGTACCTAGAGACCTAATATGTGTCACCCCCCCTGGACCTTTGAGGCTATACATTCCTAAGGCTGGTGCTCTTTCCTCGTTCTTTCTTGAGTAATCCCAGGGAAAGTGAGGCACAGAAAAATGAACTTAGCCCATGCTGACACGGCTTGTGAGACACAGATAGCATTTAGACTACCCACCTGACTCTATTGAATTTTCTCAAACAGGTATAACTGCTGATATCAAGTTTTCTTAAGGAAAGGTGCTAATAACCATCAAGTACAAACCACACAGAGGAATCACATAACGGCCGCACAGCTCTGCACAGACTGGGAGGACAAACAATAGCACACCTTGGCAACCAACGTCTTCCCTCCTATTCTCATACCACAAGCCCGGGGGGTGAGGGATCCATGTAAGGGGAAACATCATCATTTTAATACTAAGGACATTTTAGGGTACCAGAGGAACTTTGGTAACCGAAGGCGTTTTCCTTCCTCAACTCACTATTAACTGCAGGAAAGGACCTAGGCCCTGAAGAACCCTGAGGTACGAAGTAGGAAAGAACATGTGAAAGGAATAGGAAACTGATCTTTTTCCCTTTTTAAAAAAATGTATCTATTGTTGAAAGTATTACAGGTGTCTTCCCCCATTGACCCCCTGCACCTCGCTCCCACCTCCTCCCCAGGCCTTCACCCCATTATTGCCTGTGTCCATGGGTTATGCATATATGCATATAACTTCTTTGGTTAATCTCTTCCCACCCCCCACCCCCCTTCCCTCTGAAATATGATCGACTGTTGCCTGCGTCAATGTCTCTGGATCTATTTAGTTCGTCAGATTCTTCCATTCATTAGCTTCTTCTTAAAGAAGACCCTTCAACTTTTCCTGTAGTGCTGGTCCAGTGGTGATGAACTCCTTTAGCTTTTTCTTATCTGTGAAGCTCTTTATTTGACCTTCAGTTCTAAATGATAGCTTTGCTGGGTAGAGTAATCTTGGTTGTAGTTCCATGTTTTTCATCACTTTGAATATTTCTTGCCACTCCCTTCTGGCCTGCAAAGTTTCTGTTGAGAAGTCAGCTGATGGTCCTATGGGTGCTCCCTTGTAGGTAACTAATTGCTTTTCTCTTGCTGCTTTTAAGATTCTCCCTTTGTCTTTAATTTTTGGCATTTTAATGATGATGTGTCTTGCTGTGGGCCTCTTTGGGTTCCTCTTGTTTGGGACCCTCTGTGCTTCTTGGACTTGTAAGTCTATTTCTTTTCCCAGGTAGGGGAAGTTTTCTGTAATTATTTTTTCAAACAGGTTTTCAATTTCTTGATCTCTTTCATCTCCTCTGGCACCCCAATAATACGAATGTTGGGCCACTAGAGACTCCTTACACTATCTTCATATTTCTAGATTCTTTTTTCTTTTTGCTCTTCTGGTGGTTTTTCGTTTCCTCATGTTCCAAATTGCTGATTTCTCAGCATCCTCTCTCTACTCTACTGTTGATTCCCTGTAAATTATTCATTTCAGTTCGTGTACCCTTCATTTCTGATTGGTACTTTATTATGTCATCGATTTTCTCAGTTATTTTCGTAATACTCTTACAAATATGGTTGAGCATCCTTATAAACAAAATTCTGAACTCTGCATCTGTTAGCTTGCTTGGATCTACTTCATTTAGTTCCTCTTCTAGAAATTTCCTCTGTTCTTTCCTTTGTGACATGTTTCTTTGCCTCTGCATTTTAGCTGCTTCCTGGTGTTTGTTTCTATGTATTAGGAAGAGCTGCTATGTCTCCTGGAATTGGTAGAGTGGCTTTGTGTAGTAGGTGTCCTGTAGGGCCCAGTGGTTCAGCCTCCCCAGTCACCTGAGCTGGGCCTTCTGGTGCTCCCCTGTGTGGGCTGTGCACTGTCCTGTTGTAGTTGAGCCTTGGTTGCTGTTGGTGTCACCAGGAGGAACTGAACCCCAGGCCAATGAGCTGTGAGGACCAGATGCAGCTATAGCCAAAGAGCAGGATTTACTTCAGTGGGGCTTTGGTGTTCACCAAGTGCGCCCCTTGAGTGTGTCACTCGTGGCTGTGGTAGGGTTGTAATCCAGCGTCGTCGCATCTGACCACCANGGGGCCAGAGGTGTGGGTCAGGTGCTGGCGATTCAAACATGGCGCCTGCCCGCCGGCAGTGTGCGGGAGGACTCGCCAAAGGAGCCATGGCCTCCGCTAGCCCTTCTGCCCGGGAGGAAGCCGCCCTTCCAGCTGTCGCCCGGATTCCAGGCAGGTTAGTTCCTCCCCGAGTGTCCCAGGTCCTTTCCTGCTGCCGGGCGCTGGGCTCAGAGGGAGCGTCCGAGTGAGTCCGTGCCGGGCCCTTTAGAGGAGCTGCTGGGGCTCCCGCAGCCTCCTCGACCCTCAGGGACAGTCCCCGCTGGTTTCACAGCCAGAAGTATGGGGACGTCTCTTCCTGGCCCTAGAGCCCTGGGCTGGGGNGCAGCTGCCGCTAGTGCCAGGCCTGGGGCCGCTTATCAAGCCGTACGGGGCCCACTGCTGCCTGTTTGAGAGATTTTAGGAAAGTCCTAAGCGTGAGGCTCGAGAGGCCACTTGCACAGAAAAGCCCCTGGAAATGGCCTGGATGAGCTGCAGGTGGGGAGGGGCGGGGCCTCCGGGAATCACGGGGCGGGGCCAAAGGTGGGAGTCAGGTGCTGGCGACTCAAACATGGCGCCTGCCTGCCGGCTGTGTGCGGGGAGGACTCGCCAAAGGAGCCATGGCCTCCGCCAGCCCTTCTGCCTGGGAGGAAGCCGCCCCTCCACCTCTCGCCCGGATCTCAGGCAGGTTAGTTCCTCCCCGAGTGTCCCGGGTCCTTTCAGGCTGCTGCCCGGCGCTGGGCTCAGAGGGAGCGTCCGAGTGAGTCCGTGCCGGGCCCTTTAGAGGAGCTGCTGGGGCTCCCGCAGCCTCCGCGACCCTCAGGGACAGTCCCCGCTGGTTTCACAGCCCGGAGTTGTGGGGACGTCTCTTCCCGGCCCTGGAGCCCTGGGCTGGGGGCCTGCTGTGGGGCTGAGACCCCTCGCTCCTCCGGGAAACCACCACTGAGATTCCCTCCCGGGTTTAAACTGCAGCACTGGGTGTGGGCCGGTGGCCGCGTCCGTCTCCCATTCAGCCCCGATCGGCCCGCGTCTCCGCCCCTCCTACTGGTCTCGGTGCTTCTTCAGGTCCCTGGCTGTGGGGCTTCTGTGCAGCCAGATCTCAGGAGGCTCTGAGTGACGGTGGTTCTGTATTTTAGTTGTCATTTTGACGTGGTTGTGGGAGGCAGCGGGGACCGCAGTCACCTTCGCCGCCATCTGGTCGTCTTCCCCTGGGAAACCAGTCTCTAAGGCTTGTTCCTGGTGTCAGTACAAGCCTTAGGTGCCATCCAGCTTTCTCTGATGAAAGGAGGAGGCGGTTTGGGACCGGAGCTTTGTCTAGAAACTAATAATATATATTTGGTTGAATTCCTCAGGAATCTCCACATGCGATGAAACCAAGGAAAAATCTTCCAATGTTACAGGCTAGTGAGGTTACGATTGTAAAGATAAGATGACATTTCTCATGTTTACTGAACTTAATTTTCAGAAATTAAATTTTTACATCCATGAACATTCAAGCTAGAATTGGGAGAGAACAGGTAATAGATGCATGCTCAGCAAAATATTGACTACCACTGAATTAGAATAATTAGATATAATTAGAATAATTTTTAAAATGTCAGGGTTCTGTAAAATTTACATTGAAACTAAATGACCACACAATTTGATCTGTTGTTTAAAGGCATTAATTTACAGTTCTCAAATATTGGTGCCATCTTTCGAGTAATTCAAAAGAAAGAATGAATTTATGATGATGAAACTAGCCAGTAAATCTCAGAAGATTTTAATGACCTTTTTACTTACCTTATGTAATAATAAACAGTTATTTGAATCCGTGACTTCAAGTTCCAGTGCAAATTTGTCTTACAGAATACATTTAGCATTTGAAATACATTTTAATTTCTCAGTAAAAATGGTTGCTTAAACTAGTTCTCCAGCTCAATTTTATTCAAATCTAACATATTCAGTATGTTTTGAATGCCATACCACCTCAAGCGGTCCTATAGAACAGATGGGAGCATGTTGCATTTCAGAGAGAAAATAAGTATGTAAGATTAAAGTAAGCCATAGTATGTACACATTGCAAAAGGGCACAATCAGATAGGTAAAAATCACTGAAAAATGCTAGCTTCCCTGCCGCTAAATCAGTAAGAGTCACCTGGTAAAACCAAAGGCGAGGTGAGTGACAGCAGTTTCAGGTAGCAAGAGCCAGGAACTGAAAGATCCACGTCCTTTACGTCACCCTCATCGTCTTCATCGTCATCCAGTTCATCAGGAAGGCTGATTTCTGGTCTTATCTGAAATGACAGAGGAGAACACACTAAACATTATGTAAAATCTTTTGTTTGTTATGTCAAGATTTAAAAACTGGGTTAGACTCACTGCTCTATGTCAAAAACCATTAAAAATAATTTAAAAAAACTATTAATTTTCAGATTAACTAAATGTTAACCTCTAATCATCTTATTAGATACAATCCCAGATGCATGTAAAGAACTAATAATGATATAGTAAGAAAATCACCATAAACCAACATAAACAATGATTATTATAGAAAAAGAATAAAATTTTACACCATCCAAAAATAAAATACAAACACTGACACATTCAATATATTGAACTTCTATAGTTTACAATTAAATATTTGCTGGTCTGAATATATTTTTTCAAAAATTTGTGATTCCAGCCATATCTCTATGACAAAGCTTACAATCTTCCAGTAGAATATGTAGTAGAGATCAGGAAAGAACAGAATGCTTTAGTTGACTTTATTTTAGACTTGGCAGTTTGTTGCTATAGAATATAAAAACACTAAAATCCGTAATTGGTAGCTACACTTTATTGTGTGTGATTTGCAATTTGAAGATTACCACTATTGTAATTTCCACGAGATATAACTGTCAAGCAATTAATTAAATTTTTAATACTTTCAATGATACACCATCACAATGCCCACATGGAGATAATTAAGCATTAGGGGAGGAAATAAAAATATATAAAAGTGGTTGCTATAACCATAAAGTGCCAGAACCCAGTCATTACCATTAGCCTGGCTCCTGGAGTTATTTTTAGAAACAATTAACAATTCCTGCAGACTGCCTTCTTCATAGGTCCCCAAAGCACTGTTCCATTTAGGAACTGCACTGAGTCAGGGTTCTTGCAGGGGGATTAAAAAAAGAAAGAAAGAGGAAATGCTTCACTTAAGTATAATAACCTCAACTCCAGTGAAACCTTTCAACCATAACTGGTGTTCTCTTCAATAGTGAAGGAGTGAAAGCAACCTGACTACCCGAGCACTTTCCAAGACAAGATTTAATTCCAAGTCAATATTGAGTGCCTAATTCCCAGAGGACTGAGCCAGCCGTAATTACAGAGATAACAACAAGCCATGCTTCACAGAGGGCATTTGTTGATATCAATGCAAACCAGAGAAACCCTGGCACGTTTGCAAACCTTTTGGTTCTGACAAGCGGAGTTTTCCAAGTGTCTCTGGTCTTCAAACATACTTGGAAGTTACCAGGGTTAGTATCATCAGGAGTTATCTTAGACATTCTAACATGTCCTAATTCCCTAAAAGTTCCCCAAAAAGGCGTTGGTCTGGGTCCATTTGCCTTACTTCCTGACTTTTTACACATCCACAGTACAAACTGAAAATTATTTCAACAACATACTGGGGAAGCAGACACCAATGCTTACAGCTGGAGACTACATGAGTAACACCAGCTACCACACCAGTCCATCATAGCCCAGGGAACTTCTGCTATGAATCAATTCGCAAAGGATAGGAGACTTGGGAGGTGGCTCACATGAAAATTCAGAGGGATGGAGAGGCTGTGGAGAAATCAGAACTGGCACACACTGCTGGTGTGAATATAATATGATGCATCCCCTTTGGAAAACAGTTTGGTAGTTTCTGAAAATGTTAAAGACAGTGATCAAACGCCCCAGCAATTCCACTGCTAGGTATACAACCAAGAGAAATGAAAATATACAATTATACAAAACACTTGCACATGAATGTTCACCAGTGTGAATGCATTATTCATAATAGCTAAAAAACCCCCCAAAAAACCGAGGCAACTGAAATGCCCGTGAACTGATGAATGCGTGAACAAAATGTGCCACATCTATACCATGGAATATTATTCGGTCATAAAAAGGTGTGAAGGGCAGATACATGCTACACATGGATGACCCTTAAAAATATGCTGTTGAGGAAGCCAGTCACCAGAGGCCACCTACTACATGATTTCATTATAGGAAAGGTTCAGGCCAGGCAAATTTAGAGACAGAAAGTAGATTGATGGTTGCTTAGGGCAGGGGAGGGGGAATGGGAATTGTCTCATAATGAAATGTTCTAAAATTAGGTTGTGGCTGCTCTGTGATTAGTTGCACAATTCCTTGAATATACTAAAACCACTGAATTGCATGCTTTAAATAGGTGAATCACATGGAATGTGAATCATGTCTCAATTAATTTGTTTGAAAAGAAGGTGGTAGGGAGGGAGGGGA